GCATTTTAAAGGAAGCAACTCTGGAACAGCAGACCGGACACTCTGAAAGTGAAATCAGTCAGTTATTACTGTCAGCTGCCTCGTCAACCATGATTATCACGAACTGGAAGAGTCGAAATTCGTCTAATCAAGAAGTGTTGCCAACTTCGGCTAGAACAATGGTTTGCACAAAGAATACGAATGATCGACAAAACCAGTAACTAAGTCCCATCTTTGCTACCACTGGCAATTGTAATAACGAAGTTCGGATATCACGATCTTTTAGTGTTATTTGATTAAGTTCGATACACCTGTAGCTGAGTGAAATGTCCTTTCAATATCGGTGTTAAGGAAACAGAACTCTGGTTGAAATAGCATGAAAACCTTTCACTTCACTAATTCTCCGACATGACTGGCTCAATTGAGAAGTGGAAGCTTTGAAAAAAACAGGTCACTCTATTTCAACTCTCTTACAGCAAATGCACCTGAGTCCAATTATTTTTTTTCAAAATGAATGCGTCCTTCCTCGGGTCAGTGTCAAGAAAGAGCTAAATATAAATCCTTCTTGTCTGGAAGTCAATTCAAGTGGTTTTCAGGATGAGAATCTAGATTTAAAGGTCGACTTCCACTAAGTACTAGGGATCAAAACATGTGCCATCCCTGGCTTTTAAGGTGATTTTAGTGGTAGTTTCAAAGACTGGATTATTTCAAACCATTGGTGCTAAAAGTGGTTTCTTTTAAATTCTGCAATTATTTTTTAATGCAAGGGTCTTGTGTTTAATACTTTGTTGATACATGTGCTTTAAGGGTTGATACCACCGCCAAAGACTGAAAGTGATTCCTGTCATTTAATCTGGAATCGAAATCGGTTGCTCTCAAATGATCGAACACACAATTGATAACCAAATGTTAACAGTTGAGTGCTGGTTTAATCGTCCTTCAACTTTTAACATTGCCATATGTATAATGAATAACATATTTTTCAATCATATTAAAAGTACTTACCAAGACGTCGAGAGGCATGTAACAGTTCCGTTATAGTCAAACCCTATTGGTGTTCCATGCCGTTCCATCTCTAGTGAGTGAGTGAGTTTAGGTTTACGTCAAACTCAGCAATATTCCAGCTATATGGCGGCGGTCTGGAAATAATCGAGCCTGGACCAGACAATCCAGTCATGAACAGCATGAGCATTCATCTACGCAATTGGGATACGATGACATGTGTCACCTAGGTCAGCGAGCCTGACCACCCGATCCCGTTAGTCGCCTCTTACGACAAGCATGGGTTACTGCAGATCAATTCTAACCCGGATCTTCACGGGTCGTTCCATCTCTACCCCATCGCCCGTTCTTAAGAAAACATTAGCGAGCTTTACATGTTGATGATGATCACACCAATGTCTCACCGTCCGCCACTTACATGACGTAATGACATTTCTCTTGTGACGCGTAACGTCAAATTGTTTGATAGTGAAGAACCCGATGTCAAGGTTTCAGGTTTCCCTGAAAATTGAAGTGCAGTGTGTCAGTCGGGTCCGTTCTTATTCCCCCTAAAATGTCGGACACATTCATCAGCCACAGCCTGACATATTGTAAGCCAGCAGAAGTGCTTTCTAGAACACAATACCGCAGCCATGTTTGTCTCGGGTACGTGTTATCGTCATTTATAAACCCATAATCGTCCGATCATAGTCGAGTATTTACTACTTTATTGTATTGCGTGTGATGTGTAATGGTTTAAAAGAAAGGTTAGATACGCTTTGTTGTTATCAATCAGTGTTCTACAAGTCAACCGTTAACATTTCTTTAAGGGGCGGTGGGGTAGCCTAGTGGTTTAAGCGTTCGCTCGTCACGCCGAAGACCCGGGTTCGATTCCCCACTTGGGAACAATGTGAGAAGTTCTTCTGGCGTCCCCGCCGTCAAATTGCTAAAACCGGCGTAAAACTTAACTCACTCACTAAAGTTTCATTTCTAATTCGTTCGCAGACATTTTTTCAACATTTTAAACCATTTTAGATAGCATTATAATCCATCTTGAATAATTTCAAAATCTCACAACTAATGCTCGAGGGGAGTCCAGGCTACAGTATGTTGTGTACGTCACCCACTAGAGATCACGTAATGGGTTGTCAAGCACGGTGACTTCATGATCGCAAGCCAAGGTACATCAACAGCCTGGGAGGTTACTACTAGCATCAACCAGTGAATGTTTTGTGTTGTTTGGTGTATCAAAGGAAACCTTTCCAATAACACTCGCGGGACTAGGACGTGGTTCACAGTAGGGACATCAAAGACTGACAGAGTGCCAAATGTCTACAGAGGTAGAGAGATCACTTGATGAGGTTTTATGAAGTAAATTAGTAACCTGGTTTGAACGGCATAACCAGTGACTGATTGCTCTTTTACCAAAAGAATTATTGTCAATCGATAAATGTTCATATAGCGTACAAATATGAGAGCGGACGTGTGATGGCAATTTGTAAAGATGGGAACCTAGTTACGCGGACTATTCTGGCGCATTAAAGCGTCTTCAGCTTTAAAAATTCAGGACTGACTTAGAAAGTTATTCAGATGTTGGATTAAATCTCTGCCGCTGGTGTTCAAACTGTCATGACTTCCTTGTCTGTCCCTTGATTGCAAGGATCCGCAGGTGAAGGTCGGACAATACCGCCTGCAGCATGCCCAAGCTAGCTAGTGAGGTTCACTTCAGACCTTTCTTCAAACAAAACCGGGCATGTAGTGCTGCAAGCAAGCCATATAGAAACACAATGAATGTTTCCTGTTTCCTGAGATATTTCCGCCCCATGTGCGAGCAGACAAAACCTTTTCTCAAATGTTTGTCGAGTTGTACAGCTTTTTGTCTCATCTCCTATATCGTCCGTCTTTTAAACTACAAGCGTACATTTGTTGTACTTTACTATGGATTAAACTGTTCAGTTTTTTTAAAGCAGAATTGCATTTATCGAATTATGTTTTATACAGAAAGTAATATAAAATACCTTCCTACGGTATTTATGATGGCTAGAACAGAACATGTTATTTGGCCTAACTGGAATATTGTAGATGTTTGACATTTAAACTAACTCCCAGTGACTGTATTCATCATTTTGCGATGTTTTTATCCTTGATTTCATCAAACAGACATCTGATGCATAATGATACTCGAAACTACTGTTTAAAGTCAGGTTAAACCAAACCCACGCACTCATTTAATGTTCCGGCGTTTATTTCAGTAATAGAAAATATTCTTCAAACATAAACTCTTCAAAAAATTTAACGCACAGGTCAAAAATATAGAAATGTATTAAATGTATTTCATGAACTTGAACAAAGATGAAGGAAATTCGACACACGGATAAACATATGTATTGTTGTCATTGTCAGCATTAATTCAGTTCACTCACTGCACATGTGTGGACACAAGGGGGCGTTCAGGTTAGTACCTGGTGACACCACCCCTTGCAGCCGTCACTGGTCGAAACCGCCTTGGAAGGAATTGCACAAGTCGTCGGAGTTTTGCATGGGTGATTTTTCGCCATTCTTCCTGCACCGCGTTGGCAAGTTCTGCAAGTGTCTGAGGACGATGGTGACGTGTACGGACACGTCGATCAACTTCGTCCCATAGATGCTCGATCGGGTTCAGATCAGACGAATTGGAAGGCCAGGGAAGGACATTGACGTTTGCATTGGCGAGATAGGCACCTGTTAAACGAGCTGTTGTCGTGTTGGAACGCTCCCTCTGGCTAAATAGTGGGAGGAGGGAGGTCGCAGGATTTGGTCGATGTAGCGATTTGCTGTAAGATTGCCTTGAACCACCACCAGCTCTGATCTACACGTGTAGGACATGGCTGACCACACCATGACGCTATCTGATGAAATATGTCAATCTGTCGAACGCAGTTCGGCGCAAAGAGTCTGTGTCGACGTCGTTAGATACGTTGTCTCCCATCCCGTCCCAACCAGTTCCCAGGTTCCATGCCTGTACCCTATTGCACAATTGGACACGTCGTCGTGTCATGACAGGTCCAACTTTTGGTTAGTATGTTCGAATTCCCACTTCTCTCTGGGATTTCTGATGGTTTGATCGGCAATTCTTCGAAGACCAGACACCTGCCCTTCAGTTTCCGTTGCTGTAGCAAGCCTCATGTTTCCGAAATATTGCACGTGCATTACGTGGAAAACCTTTTCTGCATGCACTTTTCATTTATCGTTTTCTTTTTTTATGACAAACGTTTATAAATACATTTTGGGATGCGTTTGCGCGTAATACACAACCACGACTTGCTTAACGGGATTTAAACATAGGAATTGTCTTCAGTGACGATTGCTGTCAAAATAGATCGAAATGAACTGCTGAAAACGCCTGTGCGGGGTTTTTTTAAGAGTGTATATTGATTAATCTAGTTATTGTGTGTGTGTGGTTTGGTAAAACTGTGTGGAAAACAGAAGAATTTGTACTCAGTTATGAAAAGACTATCTCTCAAAACATTACTCTTATGAATATAAATCTATTAACAAAGACCTTACTGACTTTATGATTGTTCATTCCCGCTAGCTTTTAAACCACAGTCTTACATGCATATGTGAGCCAAAATCCTTTCCAAATTCATAAGATAAACATTTTGACAGCAGAGTGCACTGTACGATTCCGACAACTAGTATTTACGTACGCATGTGTTCAAGACACACTGTCAACAGGGGATACCAGGCGTGATAATTTGCATATTTATCGCTATTTTCAGTACACTATCTGAACAATATATGACTGTCCCCTCTTTCAAACAGGTGTGTTCAGGAAAACGACTGTCATCATCATCATCATCATCATCATCATCATCATCATCATCACGTTTATTGTTTTCGTTGCTTTGTGATTGAATCATTTCTGATGCGTTTATACACCATTATTATTACTGTTTCTTCTTGTTGCTGTTATCAGAACCACCTTGGCTTTCAGATTGGTGTTGTCGCTGTTGTTATAATGATTTTGTTGAACGTGAAACTACCTTCATTGGTTACAGTGTGCCAGCAGATGAGCGATGGGGTTTTTGCAATACTTGGTCAGAAAGAGATGACGTCCACCGACATCGTCAAGTCTTTCTCCAAGACGTTCCACATGCCGTTCATCACCCCCAGTCTTTCCCGCATCGCCGTCAGTGAAGAATCCATCTTCGAACTCCACATGCGCCCCGACTACACGTACGCCCTCACTGACGTCATCCAGTACCTCAACTGGGGACAGGTCCACTTCCTGTATGACAGTGACGAAGGTGAAGGTCGGAAAGAAAGATAATGCTCTTATGACATCCGTTGTCAAGACCATTTTTGTCCTATTGAGAGCGACATTACGTCAGCGGTCAGAGCTGAATTCAGTCGTAATGCCGATTTATATATAATGTTTCCCCACTGAGATAGAATGCCAAAGGTTAACATGGATAACTGGCCAAGACACATTAAACTGACCCTGTGCTGACTAGTACTTGTTTTATGTCCCTAATGCATACATATTCTGTGTTGAGTTAGTTGTTTGCGAAGAGTAACAGAGAATGATTCTAAATGTAAACTTTATTTCATTGATACGTTTGGTTCATCAAAATTGCCAGGAATACCAGTTGGTTTGGCCTAGTTCCTTTTTGACACCTGAACTATATTGCCAGGCTTGTTGCGGCTACAGCAGATATTCTGGTCCCTCCGAGATCAACACTTTGTCGAGGGATTTGCCGTGCAGCGTCTTCAAGACGTCCGAGACGTCCATGACGAGTTACGTCACCTTGACAGAAGTTACGCTGGGTCCTACAAAAACATCGTCCTTGACCTTTCCTCAGAGGAAGCATATGACCATGTCCTACGTCAGGTAAAAATCCTTTTCTGACAGGAATTGATTTTTGTCTATTGTTTAACATTCATTGTAACAGCTCAAGATTATAAAGTCCCTGTTTACAAGCGGAAGGCAATGGTCTGGGAATAAACGCTGAACAATCCCAGGCCATTAGGACATGAGCGCAAAGGGATGTAGATGACGTGCCTCACTACAGCATTCCCCTCAGGCTTCACATCAGTACGTGCCACGTTCAGCTCCCTCACCGGTAGTGGCGATGCCCTTGGAAACATTGCCCATTATCATTCAAATCGTGGATGTGTCATTTATAGCCTCCAACAAAACCAGATGTCTCAGTTGGTCCGAGAGTTGAAACCCTTACGGTTTATTTATTAACATTGGTATCACATAATCTGTCACTTTCAAATATCGCCCTGTGGTATTGTGTCTATTGCCGTGAGGATTGGCAGTCTATTGGGAATATCTGCTGTGGGTAATTGATGAAGTATTGTGTTTCAAAATGTTTTGATGGCATTTTGTGGATTTGAAAAAATAATAATTTTCTAAAATCCTACTTATATAGCTCATGTTGGTACTAGGAGTTTCCCGTGACTCATTTAGAAGGGTAGATGGTTAACCTAATGGCTCTGGTGTTCCCTCTTTCCGCCGAAGATTCCTCACATACGCACAATGGGAAAAGTCACACCCAACTAATACATACACATTACGCTTCAAACCTGCTGCACAAATGTGCCATCCTCATTTAGAGAGGAAGTTGTGTAGCCTAATGGTTAAGGTGAAGACATAAAGTTGATTCCCTACATGGTGACAATGTGTGAAGCCCATATCTGGGCGATATTGCTGGAATATTGCTGAAAGCGGTGTAAAACCGCACCCACTCATGAGTGAAAATTGCGTGCTCAATCAAAATAAGGAATGCGTCGGCTGATCATGAGTCCAAGGCGCCGTAACTCACTGTACAGGATCCGCTAATCATATATCATGTAGAAGCATTACCTGAGAGAATAAGCATTACCTGAAAGACTTTGGCACAAGTTTGGGATTTTCACTACATTATCCTCACAAGCCAGGACGTAATGTTCAAAGTGTCGTCCAACCAGTTAACCCATGCGCAGACTTTAGAACCACTAACAGGTGGAAATGGTCTTTTGTCAGAAATAATCTAGGAAGTGATGAAGTTGTAAGCGTACATTTATAAGGGCAAACTTTTCATTGTCAGAACGGATACAGTTTGCTTGTTGATGCTGCTGCTGCTGCTGTTGCTGATGTTGAGGGATTTGTATATTTTTCAAAGGGGCACGTTTTGGGTAACATTTAATTTTGCTAAAAATATTTCGTAGTTTTTTAATACGTTTCAGTTTTAATTAATACTATCTAATTTTGATTAAATCTTAATACCCCAAAAAGCTAAGGAACACATGCATGTTCGGAATGTTAAGAAGTGGGTTGCACATGCATACTCTATGGCTCCCAATCCCAACCATAACTGAACTCTCACGATTCTCGAAGCCTATTTCCATTCCCGTATTCTTTCCACGGAAAACGAATCTGTCAAACATGTCAAAGTATATATGATTTTATCTTAAAGTGCACTTGAAGCGTTCAACAGTACGCGGTAGATAGATCTATTTATTCTGTATCTACATAAAGCCCTGGTCCCATAGACGCTGGTTGTGTAGCGACGGTCAATCACTCTGACTCGAGCTCTCAGCTGAACTACGCTCTGTGTCAATAGTTATGATTACCAAAGCAACACCGTGTGATAATCAATAATATTCATCTCTGCAGAGTCAAACCTCATTAATCAGAATCCATCCAGTTCCATCACCATGTAGAAATCCTAGGATGCCATCACGTAGATGTATCTTCTATCGTTAACCAACTAGTCAGGAGTGATAGGATTATCAAGTTCGGATTAACGAGTTCTGTATTAACCAGGTTCATATTTACGAATTCCGGGGATAATACTTAGGATATGTTTTAATAAGGAGCAGTTAAATCAGCATGTTTCGAAACAATTACAGTATTTACATTACAACGGGTTCTTGATTAACGAGTCTGATATTGTGTTCCGAATTCCGAAAACACATTTTCAACTCCTTGTTAAAAAGCGGGGGTGTCGTTTTATATGTCACATTAACAAAGGTAGGTTATTTAGTTCCCCATGCAGAGGGAATTTAAAAACAGAAATACCGAAACCACATAATGTCTTTCCACTTCTTTTGAAATGTGAGATCCAAAGCGCCGTCTCACGTCCCGATCTATAGATTTATATGCTTACTGGCACAAATGCACTGGCGCATGGGGCTGACTCATGCAGATAATGTTCCCTTAACGACAAGTCTTTCGAGATGTATGTAGACCTACATACAGAATCAAACCCCTCCGTGCAATTACCCCCAGCGTTCAATACCGGCTAGACAAAATTAATTCAAACCTGGAATAAAAGCCTGATTACCCAGTTATTACCAGAATACCCACAAAACCCCGCTAAACACGTGAAATTACAATTTGGATAATTCGTTGGAGGGATGTATTCTCACGTAAATACTACTTACCAGATTATCCATTCATTTCGGGTATTGATTTATTCAATTTGAAAGGTGGTTTGTCAAGTATAGCTAATCGGGGAACATCAACCTCTTGTCAATGACGGAGAGAATCGATATACGTGGCAATGGCGATGTAATAGTGGTTGTTAACTGGGGATTTATTGACGTGGAATGTTTCCAGTAGGGTTTCGTTGATTTATTTGCGATTGAAATCTATCCTTGGTCTGACAAGCAAGCACTTTGAAGGCACTCACGAAAAGGCTCCATTTGAAACGGAATACAAACATTGTATGTTTAATCTGATTATGAGATCCGGCTTTGCAAATATTGGCGGTTTATACGAGCGGATTATAATTGATAACTGCATTGAAGTATGGAATAAGTGAAGGCACCTTTACGAAAACATTTTCTAGAACGTAATGACTGATGTTTCATCTCTGTATTTGGGGAATCTTAAAACAAATATCCATGTCCGTTATCTCATAATGTTCTTTGGAGGATTCCGATCATGGGATATGTGCACCGGGGGATATATATATTCCTCTGTGTAGCGTTCTTCTGTGGTTTTCGTGGTTTTCTTGGTTTCGATTTTTATTTCGTTTTTGTTGTTGTTAGGTTGGGGTGGGCAGTTTGGTATTTTCACCATGGTGTTTTGGGTAGGAGTTTGCGTTGCGCTGCTTTGCTTTGCTTTGCTGTTATCGTTTGTTGTGTTGTGGTGGTGTATAGGATTTTTTTTATTTTCGTTGGGCGGGAGTGGTAAGTGACACTTAGTTTCCAATTTAAATCAATATTCACTGACGTAATTCATTTTCAAATTTGTAATAGCGTTTGGTCGGTAGAACTTCATTGTTATTCATATTTGGTTGCGAAACGGTGAGAATTATTAAGTTAACGTTTTTTTTAAAGAAATCAATCTTTCCTCGGGTGATGGCATCTCATGATGTTCCACAGAGCATATCTGAACAAAAATGGCAAATAGACAATAATTGTGGGAAGAACGTATTCCAAACATCTCACACTGTGCTCAAAACCTTGCAAACAACATTCAGACTTCTTAGGATCCTCCAATATTATATTTCCCAAATCAAGTGTCAATTTATGATACATTCCCGATCAAATACATCCGGACATTCCCCCGTGGTACCTAATACACGATGACGTCGAATCGATGCTGGTTCCGTGTCCCCGCAGAAATTCTGCCAAACTCCAATCCGTGTTTTGTTTACTAATATTCTGAGTAGTTATTCTACGCCATAGTCGCTGCTTCTTTGGTTGTTTCAAGTCGAATGACGATCATGAATGAATTCATGAAGAGCATTCATGGCGTTTTAGAAGATTACACGCCTTCAGTGAAGGTCGAGGTCAGAGGTGAACTTATTTCAATAAGTACATGGTGTAGATTCTGCTACCTTGATTACGCATAACAGACATCAATGTTAAATACGGGTGACTGCGGTTTTACGTTTCATCATGGGTGTCCGTGTTAACGAAGGATCTCAGCTAATGCTCAAGCATGTGTTGCGATATACATATATTTCGTTTACATCCCAATTCTTGGGTATATTTAGCAGAATTAGCGTTGGCTCCCAATTTTTCCCTTTTGATAAGCGGTAAATAGTTTTTAGGACAATAATTCATTTTAATGGTAGCACAGAGACTGTGTACAACCTTTCACCTGAAACTAGAAATTCAAATCATCATTCGTTAAACGTCTCTTCATTCTTTTTAACTCGATCTTCCGAACATTATTTGCTACTTCTGGAATCCTACTTTAAAAATCATCTTACTCGGCTGAATTCATATCTCCTGGGTTTACGCTTGTTTAAATATTATTGTGTGACATTTACGCAATGACTAGTTTTATAACTGTGGGAGCAGTAAGAGAGATGTTAACTCCGATCGTAGGTCACGTAACAGCAGGGCCTAGATTTTCGAAGCTCTCTTAGCGCTAAGATAGTCGTAAGTGCCATACATTAACATAGACTTACGACTATCTTAGCTCTAAGAGAGCTTCGAACATCTAGGCCCAGGATTGTTGTGTTTCTTCATGTATGTATCTTAACATCAACTACCCGCCAACCCTGCGGTGTCATCTGTATATTGTTACGGATTGTTAGCGTTAAGTACCAGTTAATGCAAGGTTGAAAATGTATGATTCGATAACCTCGCATTTTTTTATTATTATTATTTTTATTGTCTGACGTTTTAAATAAGTTCTTGAACTATATGAAGAAAGCGGAGTAAAACCTCACTCACACACTCACTCACTTACTCACTAACTGAGTCGTATAGCCCATGATGTCGTCAATATTCCTTTGGTATTATGCTAATGAACTTTATATGTTTGTGGTGAATCCTTGGCCCGTGATATCTAAACAATGTTTGAATATCATTAACCTTGTGTTTACGGCGTACAACTTCATTCATTTCTATTTACAAATATACATATACATATATACATTT